TCAGAACTGTTTTGCCCAGAATTCACCACCAGGGGGCACCACCCACACCACGAATTTGACTTTCTTCTAAACGTTCCGTATTCAATTTCCCCCTTTATTTTATAACCCACGACCCTTCTGCAAAAGATAATTTAGTCCTAAAACCAGGAGCGGCCAGTATTTTTCTCCCGCTCCTGATGCAGCAAGGGGAATCATTTTCATGGGTTTCTAAGCCAGCATGAAATTCTCTCCTCCATAGGGGGAAAAAGGGCCGTTTATACCCTATGCCTCATTGGCTAAAATTCTGCCCTCGGTGCGAATCCTGAGCCGAGAAAATAAATATGAATCCTCAAGCTTATATATTTATTATTTATTTCAAATATTTTTAACCTGTCTTTCTCTTTAAAAGGACACAAGGTGGTTTATATAATTTAAAAGGAAATATATGATGCAAACCATATTTTCTAGCTTCTTTTTAAAAGAAATTCTCTTGTATCTGGGCTGTTTGACTCTAACTTTCAGTGCTAAGATTCGAGACATGCAAAGTGCCACTTGCTTTCCTTGGTCATTGATTTCTATTCTCGCCTTAAAATAGAATAATAAATCAGGATGCTTTCTGGAACCTCCTGTTCCAAATAGTTTTTTTTAAAGAAGAGCAACAGGAAGGCAAATAGGCAAGAGAAATAGGGTGTCAAACTGGTTTCAAATCACATTTGATGCTTTTTTTTTTGGTGTATGTGATAGATTTAATACTCACGGTACCTGCTTATAGAGGAATGATCCGCTTGTGAATTCTAGTTCCCAAAATTTCAGTGCACTGGAAAATCAAAAAAGAAAATTCAGAAACCTTCCTGACTAGCAGCAACTATATCATCATCATCATCATCTTGGAACGGCAGAGCTGGAAGGGACCCTATGGATCATCCAGTCCAGCCCCTGTCAAAGAGGCACAAGTAGGGAATCAAACTCCCAACCTCTGGCTCCACAGCCAGAGACCTAAACCATTGAGCTCTCTAGCAGTTCTAAACTTGCCAGATCTCCCTCTCCGTGGCCGAGGGGGAGAGCTGCAGGCCGGATTCGAGACCTTCCCTGCGACGTTGCTTCCATGCGAGACTTAACTGTGCCGGGCGAGATTAAAAAAGGAATCAATTCCCAACAACTGTACGTTTAATTTTAATAATTCCCCCACACACACAACTCACAAAGAGCCTTCTTCTATCCCAGCCCCCTACTTGAAATCTCCCCGTGACCTAAAATATAAGCAATTTAACCATAATGGGAAGGAGGAACGGAAAAAAAGAGGGGGGAGAAACATGATCGATCTGTTTGCCGTCCACAGCAAAGGGAGAGGATTATGGCGCAGAGTTCAGTTTTGAAAGCTTCTTAAAGCCTTGGAGGGAGAAAGAAGAGAGAAAGACCAGCTCTTGAGCTGTGCCGGTGGAAAATATTCTCTTTTTTTATTGCTTCTCCTGGTCCTACTTCTTCATCAGGATTAAAAATCTAGTAGTGTTTGGCTGAATGGGATTTTTCCCCCTGTCTTCTGAAAGCCCCAAACCAAAAATTTGCTTTGGATTGAAAGTCTTAAAAGCTTCCACCACGTGTTGTTTTTTTTGTGTGTGTGTATGTCTTAAACCCACACCATCCTGAGGACTAGTAACTTTGCTCTTCGACAAAATATCTACTGTTTGAGGGATCAAATCTCCCGCTTCGAACGAGCGACTGAAATTCGGTATCTCGCCTTCGAGCGTGTCACCCCATCGCTCTGCAACGCTGGGGGGGGGGCTTGCAAAACATTTTAGTCCCAAATCAACACAGCCAACAAACAAACACAGCAGCAGAACGGGCTGCTAATACCCAGCGTGTGATTTCACACAGCGAGGCGACTGTCCGTCAGAGGATCCTTTCTGCTGGGTTTTGCGGCGTGCGTTTCACAACTCAGCACTCTGCGGCACGCCGGCCGAAACGTCAGCAGATTTCACAATTAAAAAGCTCCCCCGCTCCGGAGGAATCCCTGGCTGCCAGGCCGAGCGTGAAACCCGGAGATTATATCGGACTGTTCCTCTGGCCAAAGAGGTACATAAAAGTTTGACTGGACTGTACCAGGTCTAGCTCTGAAGCAGGGGTGTGGGGAGAGACTCATTTTGGAGTTAAATCTGCCAGTCAAATACACTCCCCCCCCCCCGCGTAGCTCAGTGGTTTCTGTCTCTGGCTGCAGAGCCAGAGGTTGTGAGTTCGAATTCCCCACTGGGTCTCCTTGACAGGGGATGGACTTCATGATTTATAGGGTTTAATGTCTGATGCTCTCAGAAGAATTCCACCCCCCCCCCATGATCCCCTGCACAGGAGTGTACTAGCTAAGGGGACAGTAAAAAAAAAAAAGTACTGTGTTTCTTTTTCTTTTTAATTCTCTTGCCTGCTGAAATCATGATCCCCTGCACAGGAGTGTACTAGCTGAGGGGACAGAAAAAAAAAGCACTGTGTTTCTTTTTAATTCTCTTGCCTGCTGAAACTTCCTGTCCCTGCCCCAGTGCTAGCTGGGAGCTTCCTTTCTTTTAAATTTTATTTATTTCTATTACTAAATGCACCAGAAGGAGGACCTTACAGTCCAAAAAAACCCCATTAAGCCAAAGAAAACTTGCCTGTTTTCAATATGTCTCAAAACTGTTTCAGCCCATATTGACAAATGGGAAGCTGGTCTTTTGTAAAGCCTATGCTTCTTAATTGTTCATTCAAGACTAAACCACCCTCAAACGCTTTGCATTAATGGCATTCATTTGTGTCCTAATCATCTATGTTTGTTTGACCTTACCTTCAGTTACCTTGAGTTCTGTTTTTGGGAAATTAACAGCACGGAAGCCAACTAAACAATAAATAAACAGCCAGCTATGTTAAGACTTTTTTTCCTAGCAAAATACATTTGTTGATTTAGGCTTGACAGATTTATTCTGGAGTGAGCTGTCCAGGATTGGAACCCATTTCCCAAACTGCACAGAGTAATGACAGCGGAGTGTCGGGGATAGAAATATGGTGGTTGAGGAGATCAGAGCAAAACCAGAAGCAAAAATTAGATTATTAACACTGGCTGGTGTAAAGAATGTGATGTTAATGATATGGCTTGGGGAGGTCCGTTCAGGACCACGGACAGGTCACTGGCCCTCCAACAACAGAACCATTTTCATGCTTTCTCTTCCGCCTTCACTCCCCTTCTTTACCAAATAAATTCTTTAAACGACACATCCATATCTTTCGAAAAGAAAATCTAGAGGGCTGCGATCGGAATGAACGCAAGTCAACTTTTTTTTTTTAACGGAACAAAATAGTGTGCTTTAAAACTGGTTGGTCTTTTAATAATTTGCAGGAGGAGCCTCGAGTCCCACCATTGGGGGAAAAGAGGGCGTAGAAATACGATCAATCAATCCGTAACCCCACGAAATGACATCAAGAAGGGCTTATCCTTCGGTACCTTGCATAAAAAGGGGTCCCTGTGTTTTTATCCCTCTGCATTTTTTTTCCCCTTTAATTTTCTGACAGGTAATTATTCCGAGAATAATTATGCTGAAACCTTCTCCTTGAAATAGATCCATCTGAATATTTTCCCGGAATTTCCACTTTCCCCCCACCTTTCAGAGAGTGAGCGTGGCTTCCCAATTTGGCAGCTTTGCCTGCTGTTTTAAGAACTGGGCTAAAATCGGGTGCCTTGTTTTGTTCAAAGCGTTGCTAAGGTACCTGAGAAGCATCTTTGTATGATGCTTTACTGGCACAGAGAGTTCAGGTTGTCTTGTCGAGAAAGGAGTTTCCATTCAGCCAGGATGATTACCTGTGGCTTTCTAGTTTTCCTCTGTGGACTCTCAGATCGTGTCCCTTGTAGCTGACTTAGCCCACGGTGGGAGATTATGGGGCTCTGCAACATGTGGGTTTTGACAAAACTTGGAAATGTTCTAGTTTTGGACTACATTCTCCAGCAGACATCGCCACTTGTCATGCCTGTTGTTATGTAAAAAAATTTGAAAAAGCGGCTTCTTTAAGATCTGGCCTGCGTTTTAAAATAAATTCTCTAGCTGGTTGATCTTGCTGGTGACTTGCCACTCACCTCCCACAGGCGTCCGTCACACATTTCTGCAGCTACTCTTTTACCCTTTAATATAAGAGCTCACGGGTGTGGGAAACTCTGTTCATTAGGCTCTGCAGAGTGAGCTTCTCAAGAGAGTTGCCAGAACCATAACCCCTTGCAGCTCACATGGAGATGAACTCTGCCCAAACCATTTTCCCTTTCCAACAAGATCCAAACGCCTGCCTTGAGTCTGAACCCAGGAGCTTACTAACTTGAAAATCCCCTGTTAGGACTTTGATTTCTTGATGAAAGCCTCCAGAACTCTAGCCAGGGGGGAATCAGTGTAGACGTCTGGAGGATGTCAGACACAAATTCTGGAAATCCCATGACTAAGAGATGGTCGGTGTCGAGCAACACAGAAAAAAACAAGTTGGGTGTCAAATAAGACAGATTTCTCTATATTCCAGCCGAGCCTCTTGGTTTGGCTGGTAACAAGTCAATGATGTGACGAAAATCCCACCCAATATGGTACAGGTGCTGACTGGCGCTCGTCTAAAAGGGCTTTGATGCTCACCTGCCCGGATGATGATCCATCAAGAAACCTGAAGCAGGCCTGATTTCCAAGCGAGCCAGATGCTTGACGGGGTTTCGAAAGGGGAGCTCCGAAGAGGAAGAACAGAAGGTCATGAAATTGTGAGTCCCCCTCAGGTAAGACGCAGCTTCCCGCATGGCTTCCAGGTTAAAATGGCTGCAACAAGAGAGTTCAGCGTTTCACCAAGAATAGCAAACCGTCCCAGCCTGTTGATTTTATATCTGGTCCCTTCTGGATAGTTTTATTTTAAAAGGAGGGGCCTCTGTTACTTGTTAACCAACAAGAGAGTTCAGCGTTTCACCAAGAACTTACTTGTTAAGAGGCCTAAATCCTATGGCTTAAGTACATTGGTATTAGTGCGACAGCATACAAATCACAGTACAGTAGGACCCCCGTATCCACGGGATCAGTATCCACAGTCTGAAAATATTGCAGATATTAAAGGAAAAAAACTAGAAATATTTATTTTCATTACATATTTATCAGAACTCACCACTAGAGGGGGGCAGAGACCATGCTATGGATTCTTCTTCTTGGGATAAGAATGCATAACATGCTCTCTATTACCTTCTAGTGGCCTGTTCTGCTAATACATGATGAAAATATGTATTTTTTAATCACCTGAATGAGACTTTTCCTTCCAGGCTATTTGGAAGATAGATGTCTCTGTTTTTGATGTAGAAAAAAGGGAGCTTCCCCAATGTTTCCTGGGAGGCGTAGTTTCGCCATGCACTGAGTTCTACAGAGCGCACCTCCCAAAGAGCTATACTTCCCACAAAAATCAGCATTAGATTTCCTGCACACTCACCCTCTCTTCGTTGCCCAACAGAGGTCGCGTTCAAAGACAGGCGTCTGATAATGCCCAGAGGGCCCCGTCACCACTCGGTACACGTATGTTCTTGACAAGGCGCTGAAACGGGCGTGGAAAGAGTCCGGCACACGCCGAGCACCGAGGACGCTGGGGGAAATCAAAGTAAGAATCCTGACTTGCAAATATGTGCTCAACGAGTATAGGTTAGACAGAAAGAAAGGCTTGAAATCCCATCAAATATAAAGCAGCTTTCCTAGAATCACAGAAAAGCCACTTTCAATGTTTCTTCATTATTTACTAGTCTCGTATGTTATCTTGGATTTTCTACCATGAAGAACCACACGTGGTTCTCCCCTCTCACAAACCACCCTAGGAGGAAGATCAGGGTGAAAACATCTTGACTCTCCCACGGTGAATTTCATGGCTCTGTAGTCCCTTGAATCTAAAATTCGTGGACACTAGGGGCCACGTTGGCTGCGGGGGGGGGGACACTCGGCGATGTCATCACCCAATGGAAAATCTTCCAAACTTTGGTTCGTGGAGTTGAATTCCCCCTTCCTTTCCCAGCTCACACATGCCAAAAGATCTGGCTAGTCGCTTCCTCCCTGACAGGCTAGCTTTCTAACTGCGGGGCTGTTCTCTCACCAATAAACAGAACCTCACTATGCCTGCCGCTGGCCAGACCGAGCGAACGTTAGCTCCGTGGCTTTCTTGTGATGCCTGGGGAAGGCCGGCTTGTTTGATGCCAGACGGATTTGTTCCGAGGTGTCGCTGTGCACCGCAGCTCGACTGGAGCGTGGCGGTGCCATAAAGATGGTCGGCCGGCCAGGAAACGTAGTAAAGATGACCTAGTTTTCCTCTCTCTCTCTCTCTTCCCCCTCCTTCACCCCCACCTGCATCCCCTGAAGCAAAGCTGTTACTAGCCACCCGAAAATAGCCATCACGGGCGAGATGGCAGGCCGGCTACCTGAGGTCTTGGAGACTCTGTGATGCATTTCTCCAGCGTCTGATTCTGGAGGCTAAGCGGGAGTCAGTCCTGCTCAGATACTCGGCTAGGAGATCTCTTGGAAGTTCTCCACGTAAAAAGAACTTCTGTCCCTCTCCTTCTACGGAGAACCTCCACAGCTAAAGGCAGTCTATCCGCTGGGGACACAACAATGGGTGAACTCAACAAGAGTTGGTGGGTCTTTTTTTTTAAAGGTTTGTAAAATAGCCACTGGTCCCTGGAAGAAACGGGAACCTGAATGGGCCTTTAGAAAGCTAGCCTCTCAAGGAAAATGACAAGCTTAGAGGTGTTGGTGCCGAAATGCGAGTTGGCCATGTTCAAGCTGGGAGCGAACAAGGAATTTCACCGCCCGAACTGGAGTAAGGGGAAGGTTCCTTTGAATGACTGCATATCTCAATATCCCATCCCCTCTAGCCAACACGGCGCCCTAGAGTACATAAATCATCAAGAATAGCCTGATGGGAGCAGGGTAGCTCTTGTTCAGCACAACAGTAAGGAATGGATCCTCCAGGTTCAGGAGCAGTCTATCACTGAAAAAACCCAGTTTCCATCCCAACCCTTGGAACATAAAACTTTGGTACCACCGAGTATGATTCTTCTTCTGCTGTCTTTGAGATTCCCCTCACCAGCATATATCCACGGTCTGAAAATATTACATATATTAAAAGAAAAACCCTAGAATAAATATTTCAAAAGGTGAAGTTACCCGAACTGGCCACTAGAGGACGCCAGAGACCGTGTTATGTGTAGTTTTTGCTATTTAAATAATGTTTGCTATAATGCACATTTTTCAGCATCCGCAGGTAGGGGGAACCCATCCCCGAAGAAACGTGGGTCCTTCTGTTTAACAAATGAATAAGGTCTTTAAAAGCCTACATGGCAGCCGCACAAGCAAAGTGGCACAAAATGGGCTCTCAGGAGGCAAGGAGGTGGCCCTTAAGCCCTTGCAGCCAGATCAGCTCCTGGCAAATGAAAGGATCATGGGCCGTATAAAATCCTTTTAGCGCAGACCAAGCGAAAACCGACGGAGGAACAGGGAGTGGTGCTCGCAGACCGTGGCCTCTGCGAGCGAAATTGGCCGCAAGAACACAGACAGTCACACAAATCATGCACAAGGTAAGAGATTTGCAAATAGCTACTCGCCCGTGGTGATCTGAGAGCTAGCTCCAGATGACCAGTAGCAAATACCTCTTGGCTCATTTCAGAATTATATGTTTGTTTAGTTTTCTTTTATCATATTTTTTGTGTATGCTGACTTTCTCCGCATAGGGTTTTTAAAAAATCATCACCGTCATTATCTCTACTTTGCTATATAGGAAAAAAAACAAAGCGCTACACCACTTACATATGTTCTCGGCTATCTCCCCAGCTCCCAAGTTAGCTCAAAAACATGTAGGCGTATCACCAGCCGGTTTGCAGGCCAGCTTCGGGATTTGCAAAGGTCCTCATTTTGACAGCTCCGAGCTCATAAGATCACTGGATCAGCCTAACATTTACTGTATATTTATTCCCCAAAACGGTTTCCATGGAATCCTTTTGAACGTGGGCAAAATTCATCTCTCTGCACTCTACTCTCCAGAAAAAAAAAGAAGAAGGAGAAAGTAAACAGAGGAGATGATGAGTCCTGTGGCCTGTTTTGTCACCATGTTATATAATCAGATTTCTTGGAAAAGAGAAGCGTGTAGCGGTTGCAATCCTGTTCACAGTAGCGTAAGGTAAAGAGCGTGCTGGGACCTATGCGCAGCCAGCCAGCCAGCCTTGTGCAAATGAGCGCAAGGTTCACATCATGGTTGTGCGATTCATTGTGCGCTTTGCAAGGCCGCTGTGCCGCCTGCCGCGCAGATCCCGGGACAGTTGTGCGGTGTGCGCGCTGTCAAAGTGCTTTGTTGGTATTCCTTGTTGCCCTGTTGCGATTCTCCCCCCACTGCTTATGCAACTTTTAATTACGTAGGGGTAACTGCGCAACAGAGTTCCCACCGGTGGTTCCAGAATGTCTCCTCGGCAGGAAGTTGATCCATCTCCTCCTTGGGCCTCCTCCTTTTCCTGCTGCTTTCCTTCCCCAAATGTGTGCCCCGTCTTACCAGCTGATAAAGTATGATCATAGAGTCTGTTTTCCTATTAGGGCACAGGATCAGAGCTAGGGAAGCAGGAAGCGACCAGAATCAGGAGCGAGGGGGGGGGAGAGAGAGTGGCACCCCTCTACGAACTTGCTGCGTCGGCAAGCGAAGCCTCGTTAAACAAAACGGAGATTAGGGAACGATGCCAATGCAAGAAGCCGGGCATGGAGGAAGAAAGGAAGGGGCTCAGTGGTCAAAACCTCTCGCTATTCTCTTTATCAAACAGGCAGGGCGAGAGGGGATGTGGGCTTTTCGGTCCCAGCGAACACTGATCAGCCCTCCTAATCCGCCTTTTGTCGAAATACTTTCGTTGTTGCCGGCCCGTGGACAGAGAGCGGAGAATGAGGCCGCACACTGAGCTTGTTCGTATGGGTCCTTATTTTTTATACTCCGCAGCGGCATGCAGATGGGAGGGGTGCTTTTCAGAACACTCAATCTCTGCCCCAAGGACCCTACAAAGCAGAATGGGGGGGGGAAGACAGCCCAGGTGCGCTGAAGAGGAAAGGGACCTACGCTGAGGGAGAAGCGAAGAACTTTTGAAGGCCACAGCAGGAGACAAACCACATCTCTGTTTCCACGCTAGAAAGAAGCAACCACCGCACGGCGTCGCCCGCCACAGAACACCCACGGGGTGTAAATAACAATCTTGCTGTGTTTCTAGGTCCCTTGCCTTCAAAAGAGCTCAGACCCACTCGTCTTATTTCTCTCCACCTGCAGTTTGGCTCTTACCCTCCCAGCCCTGCGAGGCGGGACAAGGCAGAAAAGGCGGAGCTACAAGCCATTTACTAGGGTCCTTTCTGTATTGTTTTTCCTCCCAAAGTAAGGAAGAAGATGTAGATCTGAAGGATGCCACATAAATGCAGCTGCATAGTCCACTCTCGGCGATGCCCGGGCAGAAGCTGGCACTAAACCCATTTTGCGTGCCGCCATCACAAGAAAGGCCCAGAACAACCAGCATCATCTTCAGCATCTTCAAGACGAGACCCCACAGGTCCTGAAACCATAGAGAGCGCCTCCATACGAGGCTCGTCGGACCCGTTTTAACACCTTCTTCGGTCCTTCCCTCGGCTTATATAATATACCAAACACAAGGGACACGATCCGGTCTCTCTGCGGCTGCCAGCCACCCGCCTCCGCGTTCCCCAAACCCGCCGGGAGGCCGGCGTCTCAGGAGAGAAGGTGGGCTGACGCCCGGACTGGGCCCACGTTAACGCCGATTCCATGACAACGGCTAGGAGCCGAGGCAGAAGGCGGCATGCTGGGGAAAACGACTGCTCGTTAAAATTAAAAATCCTCATGGGGAGACCAGTGGGCAGATGAACCGAAGACACCTGACGAACTTGGATGATCTTCCATGGAAGGAGGGAGCCGTTTCCACAGTTCGGGGGGGGGGTGTCAGCGCAGGACTTTCAATGGAATAGGTTTATGGGAACCCCACCCACCAGATTTTCACATTTTATACTTTATTGGAAAGATCTGTCTGTCTGTAGCAAAGCCTTGAGAATCGTTATGGATGATTCAGGTCCAGTTTGTGGGACTTCATGGGTGTGTGTGTGGGGGGGTTATATTCTATTGCGCCAGTCAATGAAGAGCCCCCGAGACCAGCTTCTCATAGAATCATGGAGTCGGAAGGGGCCCTCGAAGGCCATCCAGTCCAACCCCCCCTTGCTCAAGGCCAATCTGGAAGCCGATCTGGAAGACGGTTCTCTCATTTCCTCTCGAAGGCCTCCAGCGTTGTGGCGCTCGCCCCCTCCCGAGGCCGTGGGCTCCGTTGTCGTACTGCTCGAACAGTCAAGAAGTCTTTTCCTGATCTTCCGCCGAAATCTGGGTTTCTGCCGCTTGAGCCCGTTGTTGCCTCTTCTGTGCTCTGGGAACGACCGAGAACAGATCCTGCCCCTCCTTGGCAGGATGACCTTTCACGTATTTGAAGAGTGTTACCCTGTCTCCCCTTCGGTCTTTTTCTTTCCCCCTCCAGACTAAACAATGCTCCAGCCTTTGCTGGTAGCAGGCCGAAGAGACAGATGTCCTAAGTACAGGCTTAAAACCCAAACAAGGATACGGTCTGTCTACACTGCCCAGTGATGGTGGTTTGATGGCACTTTAATGGCCCATGGCTGCATTTTATGAATCTGGGGCTTACAGGGCCTTTGGAAAACTTGCCCTGGTTCCCAACCTTGAGGCCCAGAGGTTCTCAGGCAACAACTCCCTGACCAGCACAGCTCGTGGCGAAGGCTTCTGGGAGTTGTAGTCCAAGAACCTCTGGAGGACCCAAGGTTTGGGAACCTCTTCTCTAAGGCCTTTGACAACAAATAAAGGCTAATTCTCACCCAAGATTCTTTGGGATGGAGAGGGTGGCCGTTCAAGTGGTCTCAAACTGGTATGAGTGGGCAGGGCAGACAAGCCTGTCCTCTCCCCCCCCGTGCGCGCCAAAAATGCCGGACGCATCGGCATGCCAAGAAACTCACCCTATCGGCTCAGGCTTGAGGTGGTAGTTAAGGCCCTGGACCAGTTTCTCTTCGTCCCAAGGCGGCGCGTCGTCGGACCGCTCAAGGTCGAAGTGGGCGGTGTTGCAGAGCGCGTGCACGCCGGCGTCCGTACGGCTGGAGATGACAAATTTGATTGGGGCGGGAGGGTTTAGCTTCTCCGCTGCCTTCTGGAGGTACGGGAGGAGAACGCAATGGAAAGGATGTGAACGGGACGTGCTGAAACATTAAGGCCAAAGGACATATACGGTTCCCTTTCACAGAAAAGGCGCCCCAAAATTGAAAAGAAAAACAAACAAACAAACCACCCATGTATTGCAGGTTATTTATTTATCCAGCCCAGCTTGATCGACTCAGAATACGAACCACGACACATCCAGTGTGTCTTTCTTAAATCAGAACCATCTTAGAGTGGCCCTTATAGGACTTTCACGGCAAGCGAGATATTTAACGAGTGGTTTGACCAGTTCCAGCACTCGCCCCCCCCAAGTGGGGTTCATTGGCCGAGTGCGAATTCGAACTCAGATCTCCTCCGTCCTAGTCCATCACTCGTGTCTCCTACACCACACTGGGTAGCCATGCATCTTTACCCCCCACCCCACATGTTAAAATGTGCATGTAGTTTTTTTGCGTGTGCTCCGGTTCTCCAAACTGCCCCGTTATCCTCGCGAATGCGTGGATTCGTACAGCAAAATCGGCCTTTTCTTGCAATGAATCTCAAAAGGGGGGGGGGAAGGGCTATTTCCCCCCCCCCCCCGGGCAGTTGAAATCTTTTCTCAAGTGTGGTTAAATGATCCACGGCATCTCCGTGAAGTTCTGGGAAAGACACACACCCCCATCGGTGGCAAGTCATCATCCATCAGAGCGGGAGCACCTTCCCCAATCTTCAGACAGCTTGGACTACAGTGTCTATATTCCGCAGTGGCTAGAATAATGGGAACAGTAGTCCGGGACATCGAGTGGGTTGGAGGAGGTGCGTAAAGGCAGGGTGTCGACATTGCGGTGCCCGAGGGCCAAACTCGGTTTCAAGGCAGGTTCCCGGATCGGCAAAAAAACGTTAAGAAGAATGAGCAATGGCCTGTCAGAAGGTTGGGAAGGTTATTATAGAAAACAGAGTGTATTGTCTGTGTATCATCAGAGGATGCTCAAGAGGGTGAGGCAAGCAGAAGGTCAAAGGTCAACCCCCCCTTTGGAGGACCAGCCCAAAGGGTGTGTGTGGCTGAAATCTGCCCTGCCCTATGGATGAACACCACGAACGTGACCTTGCCTGATTTGGGAAGCGCAGCAGGGCTGCCTCGGGGCGGACGGGAGACCGCCCCCGAGAACCACAGAGATCTCTAGCACACGGCCAGTCGAGAGAGATGTGGCTCAACCCCATGGCGGCTGCCAGCCAGAGCTGGCCACACCGGCGCAAGAAGGAATCCACCTTTGGCTTTCTACCGAGCAGCTTCCGAGGGGTCCCAAGGACAGGTTCGCGGCCGGGAAGCAGATGCCTCGACATCTTCCCATTTCTTAGACTGGATGGCCTCTTGTCATCCCCAACGGGAAAACCTCGCATTAAAAAGGGAAAAGAAAGGCAGACGCCGGATCCTATCAATTATTTAAAGCCGAGAGGCGGATGGGAAGGCCGAGCGAGCATCCCCCTCCCCCGAGAGACGCTGTCCTCCTGCGATGCCAATGCTCCCGTCGTGAACTGTAGCATCCCTAAGGCTGGCTGTTCTTCATGCCATTTTCCTTCGGCCGCTCCAGAACGGGGTCAACCGGGAGAATCCGGCGCTCCCTGGAATTCCGCCGAGGACGGAAATGATTCACGCCCAACCTTCTTTCGGCCGTCTACCAAGATGGGGGGCTCGCCAAAGCCGAGAGGGCCTGGAGATGCCTTTAAAATGTCTAGTCCAAGCCCCACTCAAAATAATAATAATACAGTGGTGGTACCCAGAACTCAACCACCAAGGTGCCTCAACCACGCCGAAAGAGGGCCTTTCGTTTGGTGCATTTATACGCCTTTTAAGCAATGCCTCCCAATCTGCTGGGGTTGGCGCTGGGAGGTATGCCACACATAAATACAATCGAATTAACCGATTAAAAAAAGCCAGCGAGCGAATTGGCTTTCAGGGTAATAAGAGTATTATTTTTTAAAAAAACTCTCTTTGATCTGCTGCCAGGCCCCCAAGTCAATATTGCCCATCAGGAAAATTATGTAGGTTTGCTCCCTTTTGAAGAAACAATTCAGAGTGTGGATTTCGTCCGACGGAGGTGTGTGTGGGGGAAAATAATCAAAAGGTCGGTGGAATGGCTGACCTCGGGGCCAAGCTAAAGCTCGCGGCTTTGCAGTTCTGGGCGGAAGGGAAGGAATTAAAATTATAGCCGTCACTCGCTAAGAGATGCCGTGGGTTGAACCTGGGAACCTATGCATTACACAAACACGCAGGGCTCAAATGTAGTCTGTACTTATTTCCTTTAAAATGCCATGTACGATGCCCACGGACTGATAGAACTCACTGTCCCCCCCCCCGCCACGGCTTTAGATTTGGGAGTGTGTGAAAAGCAGAAGAATAGACTGTTCGGCTTGTTTATTTTTGCCTCAACATTTATTTATTTAAAATATTTTGACCCCATCTTTCTCCTTTCAAGGAACTGAAAAATGTTTGAGGCTGGAAAAAAATATATATATCAGGTATCACAGTGGCAAACGGCCATATCAGTAGATCTATTAGCCTATTAATTTATGTTATTATCATCGTTGTTGTGGTGATGTTTTTTTTCTCTTTTTTCCTCTTTTTTCTTTTGCTTGTATAAAGAGGGAGAAAAGACCCATTTGTGGCAAAGGGCTGAAATTCGTGGATGTGGTTTTTGAATCCACGCCCAGGATTCCCATGGACGGCTCGCCGTAGGTGAGTAAGGGCGAGTACCCGTTTTATGGGATCAGGGGAAAAAGCCTTTGTGGTGTTGTTTCTCCACGTCTGATACCAAAAAAAGGGCACCTCTCAAAGCGATGCCAGCTTCAGAACCAGGGGAGAAGGACAGGTTTCCCTCAAGAAGCAGCAGATTTTGGAAACATTGGGTAAAACCCAGCCAAAAAAAGAGGAGAAGGAATACCCCCTATAATCTTAGAATAATAATAATCTTAGAACGGCAGAGCTGGAAGGGACCCTGTGGATCATGGATCCTTCCCTTTCAGGGAAGCCCAGTGGGGGGATTCAAACTCCCAACCTGAGCTATCCAGCTGTTCAGCTGGGCTAGCCTTTGAGTTCTGCATAACACCAGGAGGCAACCTTTTCTCCCTCTGGATTTGGGGTGGGGGCCCCCTGAACATGATCAAATTTAGAAGGGGTCCCAAGACCACCTTCAAATTCGTTCGTCCTGGCCGGAAAGCTCAGATCTCAACTGGCAATATTTTAAAAACGAATTCTTAGAATCACCACAAAGGCAGGGATCGGGTACGTACGGCCCTTGAAGCCTTATCTGGCCTTCTAGCATCCCAGTGTGTTCTTTTGGGCTTCCTCAGTTTCCCCTCCGCTATTTTCAGTCCCGACCTTGGCCACGTGGGACGGCCACCCCCGAGTACATCTCAGAAATGGAAATCACTCCAAGCGCGGAAAGACGTTTCCATGCTGGTTCAAAACCTTCCCAGAAACGCAAAATGGGACCCATCGATTTCATGCGCTCCCGCCACCCCGAACGCCTGACCCCTTTGCCTCGTGCTCCCCACAACCACCGACTGCTCTTGAGACCTTGCCCCCACAAGGCCCATCTGCCGTTTTTTATTCTTTGTCTTATTTTAACCCATCTCAACCCCCCCCCGCCGCCGCCCCCCACTAATCCGTTAATATCACTCATGCCAAATTACGGGGAGATGCATTATTTACTCAGCGGTAATTGCTTGCGTGTCAGGGCCTCGGAAATGGACGGCAAGCCATCTCAATTAATGGGACGCTCTTCCCGGCAGGCAGGCGGGCAAGGATGGGGGAGCAGGGAGGGAGGGATGAAGCCGAGGTGGAACAGGGACCTTTGGGAAGCTAGAAACAAATCTTTGCTTCAATAAGGTGTCTGTTGATCTGCAAGGAATCTTCTGCAAACCCTTTGGGATCAGTTGTTTCGAAAGTGGAGAATTTTGGGCGAAAATGGATTTCGGAAATCCATACACCCCCTACTACTCTGGGGTAGACGTGGCTAAGAATTGTGGCCAAAACTCTCACTTCCTCGTCTGAGGAAGTTCTCTTGGATCACATCCGAGTACCGTTAGGCCCACTACAACCAACGGCGACTGGGTTTCGAGCAGAGTATTTTTCCAGCTCTTTCTGGAGATGCCGGGAATTGAACTTATAGTTTCCGCAGACGACACAAACGAATCTAAGCTTCCTCCCCTAACTTGGTCTTCCAAGGCCAGAGTCTTTCACATTCATAATTGTTTTTAAAAGCCTTTTCATGGTCCCCCCCCCCAAAAAAAAAAAAAGGAATGGAAAACCATTTCTGAGCACTCTCTCTCTGGAAAACCCTGGGAAATGGGTCATCAATATGTCGGAACTGACTTGATGGCACATCATCATCATCTTGCTTTTGAACACTTTCTGATGCTCGGGGACATTCTCCCTGTTGAACACACAAGCAACAGCGACAGCTGCCTATACCAGCCATTGGCAGCCCAGGGAAAGCTTGTGTTGAGTTCGGAGCAAAACACGGAGCGGCTTCGCCTGTTAAAACTGGGCTCTGCGAAATTCCAATATATAGGGGTCCCCAACGCTGTGGGAGTCGGGGGAGCTCCCCGGCGGTCACGATGTGCAAACGTCTTGGCCCACGTCTTATTATCACATCGCCGAGACAAAGAGAAAGGACCAGAAACAGCAGGACTTACCTCCAAATAATTCTGCACGCCCAGCGTGTTCTGGTTACAGGGCGTCAACGCGACCCCACTGGAAGAAAGCAGGGAGAAGACAGTCACTATAATTGATTAGTATTTCAACCATTTTATAATCATAGTAATAATCATCTCAGAATGGCAGAGCTGGAAGTGGCCCTATCGATCATGCCCCTGTCAAGGAGACCCGGTGGGGATTTGAACTCGCCTCCTCAGAGCTAACCACCAGCTCCTACAGGATGAAACCAACTCTCTGCCTAATCTAAATACCGAAGGCATCTTTCAGAGGTTAGCAGGGGGCTGAGTCCAGAGTTTGGAGAAATCAGAAACCCCCTCAAGAGCCAATCTAAAACATATCTCTCTAATCCCACTTTTTTTTCTCCAAAAAAGGACAGATATTATGCATCCATTTTCTACTTGCACAACAATCCTGTAGGGTTGGTCGGCGGACAGGAAGTGGCCAAAATCGAGTGGCTGGTGCTCTCTGCTATCAAGTCTGATTAGGGTGACCCTAATTGGGTTTTGGAGGTAAGCAAGATGCTCAAGGAGCTGGACCTCCGTGGTCGCTGCATCAGCGAGGTTCCACGGCCAAGAGAAAACTTGAACCCAGAACTCCAAGACTGTACACATAACATCCCACAGGTCTCCAACACAGCAACTACATGGGGCATGGGCTCTCGAAATTACTAAGGTAAGCCGATAAAGAAAGCTGTTTTCCGAAATAGGAAGCGTAGTGCTAGAGTACGGATCTGAAATGTGGAGGATCTGGGTTCGAAACCCCCTGTTCTCCTTCGCAGGGTCCTTGTGAGGTAAGAGAAACCCCTGTCACTATTTATTAGAGAGTTATCTCAATCTGGTGAGCATCCTTGTTTTTAGAGATCCTTTAAAAACAGACTTACCTATATTTTGTTCCAAAGTACTGAAAGTAGATTAAATACCGAGACTTTTGAGGAAACATTTCAGCTTTTCAAAATTTCGGCTCCAGTCCTAAAAAGCAAGATTCTGGCTCACTCCTTTTTTTTAATGAATAATGATTATTACTGTCATTGACTGTAGAGCTAATGGCAGCAGTAATTGACCCATTTACAGCTCAACAGCCCCGATATTGACAAACATATTTTGCAACATATTTTGCCCTTGTTTTGCTTGGGTTTTAAACTGCTAAACAAAATAATAGCAATTCTTCTAGTTTCCCCAAACATCCATTCATGCCCCGGCATGGCCGTAAGGCTTTGAAATGCTGGGTTGCCTGTAATAAAGGCCCACTTTAGCAGTGTTTTCCCGCTTGCCTTCCCTGCTAAGAAACTTATTTTAAAAATTATAATGCAGCAATAACTGCCTTGCCTGCTCAGATAAGGGAGAATGTGAAAATGAGTGTTTTTTCTTTTTTTGCCCCAATAAATTAAAATAAGCAATTAAATTCTTAAAAAGAAGAGCAATTCCAAAATGCTTGCACTTTTGCAATGCTATATTTCTCCACCTCTACAATGCTTTAGGGGGAAAAAAACTCAGATTTCTACCTCCCACATCTAAGGCTGAAAGGTTTTCTTCCGTTTCTCCTTTGCTGCATTTTGCTGGCACTTGTGGGGCCACCAAAATAGGTGCTATGGAAGAGATAGGGCATTTTCAAGGGGGGCTTAAAGGAGGCTTCGTCGCATTCTGTTTGCGTCATCAACCGCCGGTGGATGCCGGCCAGCTGCAGGAGGGACTGAGATTCAGCCGTGATCCTCGCTAGGGAGAGGCGGAAAAGTCTCAACCTTGAAGGAAAACGTCTAATCCTCTTAATGTTCAAAAATAATAATTTTTTAATTGTGGATAAATAATAAACCTTGCTTGCTTTGTTTTAGCAGATTGCAGATTATTTTTAAAGCTTCCTCCCCATACATTTCTTAGTTGTCTTTTTGGGGGGCTGTGTTCGAATGATGCGATTGTCCTGGTTTTCCACTATTTTTTGCTGGACATGCAGAAAGCCACACTGTTGTCTCCTCGTCAAAACTGGATTCGGCAACGCAGGAGGTAGAGACGGTTGAAAAACTCAGTTTATCTCATTTTCCCTTCCTACGGATCATCTGCAATCGAGGCTTCCGTGCCTCTGGGCGCATGCAGAGTTCTTTCCCTGATGATATAACACAAAGTGTGGAGAGAAGCTAAGAGTAAAGTGTTCCTGTCCATGTCTAGAGGGCATTGCAGTTTTGAAGACAATTCCCATCCTTTGCCTGGAGTTTATGGTATGGGTTACATCTCTTGGTCTGGGGTTACCTCCGTTGCGGCCCGATTCGGCCTTATCAACCCTCAAACAGAAAAAAAGGGCATAAAACCAAAAAGTTTCAGTGCAAATTCGGCTGCAAATAAATTTCCTGCAGTTGGGCAAATCCACCCATGAAGGAAATGGTATTTTACAGCCACGTTTAGGGTGACCTTAGGTTATTTCTACAAGATCAGTAGCTGAACTTGGAAAATGATTCCTAGAAAGCCTTTCTAACAGGGCCAGGGGAAATTCCTATTTAAATGGCAATTCCTTTCCAAATGGCTTGGATCTGATCCAGTATGGCTAGGGGATTCTGAGATTTGTAGTCCAAATATTTTATCTTTTTTTAAAGCCCCAGTTCTGTGATTTTTCTCTCGGTACTAATAGTCTCCAAACAAACTATTATAATTTCCCATTTTGTGATTTTTCTCCCCTTCCTTGTGGAAATGTTATCATCTTTTATTCCGAAATATTCAGCAAGGACATCTGTATCTCCCTCTACGCGCCTGGGTGTTCAGATCATCAGGCGAGGCCTTTTTCTCAGTCCAACCCCCTTCAAAGATGCATCTGATGGAGCCACAAGTCTCCAAACAAACTATTATAATTTCCCATTTTGTGATTTTTCTCCCCTTCCTTGTGGAAATGTTATCATCTTTTATTCCGAAATATTCAGCAAGGACATCTGTATCTCCCTCTACGCGCCTGGGTGTTCAGATCATCAGGCGAGGCCTTTTTCTCAGTCCAACCCCCTTCAAAGATGCATCTGATGGAGCCACAGGAGAGGGCCCTTCTCTGTGGCTGCTCCCAGACTCTGGAACTCCCTGCCACTGGAGGCCAGCCTGTCCCCACCTTGGCTCTCCTTTCTGGAAGCACGCAAAGACTCTTCAGGTAAGTCTTCCTCTTTTGGCTGTCAGAGAGAGGTTTTTTAAATGGCCAGTTGTTCCTTGTTGCTTCGAATCCGGTTTTGGTGTTGACTTTGCTAACCCTTTCCAGCGTGGTACCTGTCTGCATCTTTTTAAATATTTCTATCCTTACCATCTTTAGCTTTTATACATTGTTGTTCATTGCTGTAACCCACCTTAGGTTCCTTTTTAAGGAGAAAGGCAGGGTAAGGAATTTTTTAAAGGAACACCTGCATTAAATCATTGGGTCTGGCGTCACCAGACAAACCCACCCACCCCCTTTTTTTTTGGTTATTTGTGGTGTGTCACTCGGGTGTGTGTGAAAGATGCTCCCACCGCTTTTGCTGACCGGATGAGGGAGGAGATGCGGATTAAGCAGACACATCATGCGCTAAGTCGATCGCTCTCGTCTTTAGCCACGGGGGGATTAATTTAATCTGCTCGGCCCACTGCTAGGTTGTTCCATTCATCAAGTTCAGCCACGCACGCCCTTCCATTGTCTCTCCACAGCGGAAGGGTTGTGTGTGGATGCTCAGGGTTTCGAATAGGGTAGCGCTGCCCGGCCCAACCTTGAGGTAGAGCGAGGCCCCCACCACCGCCTCAGGCGGCAGAGATTAGTGCTGTCCCTCTCTGGACCTCCGAGAACGCTTCCCACAATCTATACCACAGACTTGGTTCAAAGACAGCCGACCCTGCCGTGTGGCGGCAGAGTGAGGTATTGGCCTCAGGCGTCAAATTGTAAGGGGCGGCAGCCAGGCCGGAAGCTGTGTAAACCCTTAAACTGGTCTGATGCCCCCAGCTTTGGCGTACGATTTAACAGCCGGCCCTGCTTCCCTTGGGAGGTCCCTGAAGCAAAAGGAAACGCCACGTTGCCCTTTGCCTCAGACAGCAAAATATGTTAGTCATCGTGTGAGGGGAACCTCATTTCATGCTCACCTGTGGCTCCATGCAAGTCCCTTTTGATCAAGGAGGGGGGGAAGCAATGACTCAGTTTGAGATTTCATCAGGTTTTGAGTAGACCCATTAGAATCCATGGGACTTTCGTGTTTCTGCATCCGTGTCTGTTTATCCATGTGCATATCAGGTAAAAAGAAAAATAAGAACTAAAGGAGACAAACTTGCTCAGTGGTTTAGGTCTCTGGCTGCAGAGCCAGAGGTTCGGAGTTCGAATTCCTCACTGGGCCTCCTTGACAGGGCCTGGACTCCCATGATCCATAGGGTCCTTTCCCTGCAGTTCTAAAATTATTATTATATATGGCTCTGCAGTTCTAAGATTATTATTATATACTGACTTCTGCGTGCATGCATGCACGCCTTGTGCTAATATACAGCAGGACAGGAGAGCTTAATTGGCACACCCAGTATGTGCCACTACAAGGTGATATACCTATCTGGGTGCCTTGAAATGGAACAGGATTGCTCGCCCACCTTTTGTCAGGAACAAGGCTGGCAGATGAGCCCGTTTGCCCCCCAGAGAAACCGGCCCTGCGAGGATGCAAAATAAATTTGGGGGCTGGGTGTTCTTGAATGAGCTGGGAAGAGCCGTTGACCTTACAAAAGCCCCGCTCCGCCTTTTTTTATGGCAAGAAGCGCCCTTCCCATAGAGGCCGGACTTTCTGAAAGGGAAGGGCCTTGCCTCTCACTCAAGAGAAAGTTGCAGAACTGCCTGTCCGATCTGCTTGGATTTGGATCCCTGCCTTGAGCGGGCAACCCCTCCACCAAGCCCGGAGAGGTGTCGTGGGAATTGGCAGACGCTCCCTGCCTGCGCCTGCCTTGACAGCGCGGACCGCCGCCTGCCCGCCTGCCTGCCTTTGGCTCAGTCCTTTTTGCGCGCAAGGCGAGGCGAGGCGAGCCGGGGCTGATCCTGCGCCCGCCGGAGATGCGCCTCCGGGGGCTCGGCTGGTGAGCTCGCTGCCCTTCCCCAAATACCCCGGGACTCGCTTCCTTCTCTCTCCCCAGCCACTCCGGTGCCAAGATGACGGTGGAATTCGAGGAGTGCATCAAGGACTCGCCCCGATTCCGGTAAGGCTGTCGGCTCCGGATCCGATTTCCCCCACCCACCCCTCTCCCAAACCGGAGTCAGTCCGGATTCCCCCAAACCGGGGACCTGGGGGGGGCGATCTGGCTGCGGAGCACCAAGCTTCCTACGCCGCCTTTTTCCTCCTCCTCCTCCTCGGGAGACACTGCGGATCAAGGAGCCAAAGGGGGGGTCCACACCCAATCCTCCGCCCCCTCCCCAAAATCTCCCCCGATTGAAGGGGGGGTTTTTCATCCTTATGGGGTGGCGCCCCCGGATCGCCTCCTGGCTTGGAGAGAGAAACAGGCGAGCGGGTTGGATTTTTTTTTCTGGGGGGGGAAGACCACCCCCCCGAGAAGAAATCGTATTTTTCCGAACCGAAGGGAGAGGTTGGAAGCGGGTGCCTGGCAAGGACGAGGCGATTCCGATCGCCCGCAGCTGGCGGCTGGCATCGCCTCTAGGGTGGGTGACAGGCTCGGAGGGCATCGCCGGCGCTTCCCCCGAGGGATTTAAATTATTATTATTATTTTTTTAAATCGGGTTTCCTTTCTTCCTTTGGGCAAGGGAAGCGGGCCGGCCGAAGGGAGAGGTTGGAAGCGGGTGCCTGGCAAGGACGAGGCGATTCCGATCGCCCGCAGCTGGCGGCTGGCATCGCCTCTAGGGTGGGTGACAGGCTCGGAGGGCATCGCCGGCGCTTCCCCCGAGGGATTTAAATTATTATTATTATTTTTTTAAATCGGGTTTCCTTTCTTCCTTTGGGCAAGGGAAGCGGGCCGGGTGGCGAGAGAGAGGAAGACGTTCTTTAAAAAAAATAATAATAATAGTAATAATGAAAATGGCACGTAGAAGAGAGAGAAAAAGGAGGAGGAGGAGGCGCCCCGGCATGGGCTGCCCCCCCCCCCAAGTCGGGGAGAAGCGGGGCTGGGCGATTTTTGTGC